AGTAAATGCCTCTATCCACTCGTCCTTGCCAGAAGCAAAAAACTCTGAAAAATATTAAAGTCCAAACAGCACAGAAGGGAAGACCGTCAGTCTGTAGTGATCAGCAAAAGGAACCTACCATCTGTAGTGAGGAATTTGTCCGTTCTGAGATGTGCTAGTTCCAACCTCTACATCTTCCGTATTACCACAAACTATTCACAAGGTAATTCACAAAACAGATCAGAACGTGATACCCCCGTTCATGACTCATCAAAAGACCTCACTGGATGAAGAGTGGGGGAAAGGGAGAAGTTTCAATATGATCATGGGTATAATGTTTTGGAAGTTGGTGGTCCTGGGCCAATCAGGGCCGGTGGAGGAAAAAGAATGCTTTACGAGTTCATAATTGGCCATTGAAATATGAATGTAGAGAACAATGGAGTGGATGGGAGAATGAGGAAGATGATCAGTCGTGGAGATTCATTGAAGTCATTGGTCACCAATCAAGCCAAGTCCACCAGACGACCAGGACTGAAAATACCCCAAGTTGTTTCTAATGGAAAATATTGCCAAACAATGGAAATTATCTTTCCTTTAGCAAAAGTAAGTTGGAGGATGCTTATTTCAGCCAGCTAAGAGGGCACTGTTTTACTCTATGCCCAGCCTGAGTCATAGGATAGTATGAAGGACATTTTTTGTGCCGTTTGAATTGTATCCATCTTGATGCTGGTAACTGGTTCAACTGTTTACTTTCAGGATTATAAACTGATGGATGCTGTCTGAATAACTGCCCTCAAACATCATCTCTCCTTTACTGCAGTAGCCCCACATGTTCACTTGACTATTTTGGACGGCTCTTTTAAAAGTATCCAAGGCAGGGGAGGGCAGCTGTAGCCCAGTGCTGAGCATTGTTACATCATTTCTTCATCTTGTAGTCAACCCATGGAGACTACGAGGCAGAGAAACAGCTGGCGGCTCACTTCAGTGCCTTATCGCATGTCAGCGTCAGCACTTCCGCTTTTCTTGCAGCTGGAATCACGCTCATCTCGCCAGTTTATTTACACACGCACCGTTCCACATTGCCAAGAAATCACATCATTATCTTCAAATCACTCACGTTAGTTGTACACTCAAATCCACAAGTCAAGTTCACTTTCTACTCCTCCAACCTTTTTGTTTATAAAAGCTCCTAAACAAACCTACAGGCTGGCCCTCTGCTCCACATCCTCTTTACATGTGGTTCAGATAAGCAGCTCTGCATTTCATCAGTCAGCCCCAGAGCATTTTGTCTCCTCTTTTTGGCAAAGCTGTTTGTTATTTCCTTGCCATTTCTGAGCTCTGACTCTTTCTTTGACATACTTATTGTTCTGCACTCCATTCAGCAGGTCCTTCAGTGAAATGAACATCACCTTCTGTTAAAGGTGAACTATTATGCTTCCTCAAACACCTTAGGATTTTCCATGGGCTCTACAAAACATGTCCATCACATTTTGTGTCTGATCAGTTGTGCCTATTTTGAGCTCCTTTCAGAATGAGCCGTTTTAGGACCTCATGTCACTCTAAATCCAAATGAGCTGCTCCTGGCCACGCCTCCAACTCAACATTTATACATCCATGTGAAAATTACTGCAAACAGATGCACAATTATACACCGTACATCTTTGAAAAGCTAAAGTGGAGCCTCATGCTCAACCAACAAAAATGCAGCAAGAGGTTTCTGGATGCCAAATCAACAACAAAACACGTGTCTCTTTCAGCAGCCCTTACACAGTCCATACCAGGGTAAAACCAGATGAGTAAATGTACTGAAGCTTAGGGTGGGTCGATAGGTGATGGGCTGGGCTCAGTTGGGGTTGCTAAGTAACAAGTGACAGTTGATTGTTGGGAGATTTTTGAAATGGTTTATTTTCTAGACACCAAATAACAAACTTAGTCAAAAAATGACTGGGTGGGTTTTTCAAGCACTTATTTATAGAAGCGGTAAACACCAAATGGAAGTACAAAAATTTGCTAAATGTGAATTTAGCATAATAAGTCCCCTTTAACTCTACTGCACAGAAAGCATGCCTGCCAGATAATACATTACTTACCAAGGTCTCCGTTTTAAAATCTACACTCATTGTGAGCAGATATAAACAAGTTTAAGAAAATAAACTCTTCAACTCTCCTCTCTGTTCACTAAATCAAACCCAGAGTTTTGTGCTTTAGGAATTTCATTGCTCTCCTTCCAAACATGTGGAATCCAGGGTGCCTTGTCCATGTTGCATTTTCATTTATGTTCAATAAAATTTTGAACCTTTTGTTTCTGAACTTCAAGGGTAAAGAACAACCAATGCATGGAGGCCTCAGTCCTTGACGTGGCTGTCAAAGGTTCAGGTCCTGACTTGAATACTTAACAAGAACAGTCACTACTTAATTACTTTTATTTCACTACTTTTTAGAAACTGTAGCTACTCACTTTACACCAGAAAAGGATTTAGATTAGTCATTTTGCTTTTTTTCTTCTTTTTCTTTCCTTTGGTTTATTTTGTTTGTATTTCCTTTTAATTCATGTAAAGCACTTTGAATTCCCTTGTTGCTGAAAATGTGCTTTATAAATAAAATTACCTTACCTTTTGCTGCATGTCTGCCCCCTCTCTCATTACCCATTTTCAGTACCACTCTTAAGTAAAGAGTGGTCAGACAGAATCTAATAAAACCTTAATAAAATAAAGGGAAAATAAGTGGAATGGAGAGGGAGAAAGGACTCATTCAAGAAAATTGGTTTGTCTTAGTGACCTTGAAAAATGAGTAAATAGTAAGTTGCAAGTATTTAGTCATTCTAGGTGGGATTAAATTTTGATCAAGCAGTCCACACAAATTAAAAAATAAGTTAACATTGCATGAAATATAAGTTACATGAACTTATTTTATTTTTGTTAGTTTTACTACATGATTTAGTACTGCTAACTTCAAATTAATGAGGTTTTCTCGTGGGTTTTTTGAGACAAAAAGTTTGCATAATTTTCTTTAAGTAAGGTGAACTAATTAGATTTTACAAAGTTCAGGGATGTGAAAAGGGACCACTTAGAAATATTGGTCTCACAATGTCAGACACATTCTTCACTTTCTCTGCATGGGGAAGTGATGGTGTGTGGGCAGTGGCTTGTACAGCACAACTCTAGATTGAAGAAAAGCTTTGCTTTTAAGTCTCTAACCTCATCAGCACAGCCAAAAGAAAAACAGGTAAGTTAAAGGTTTGCACCATGAACTTCCTGAGGGCTGATAAAAATACAGAGCCTCACAAAAGCATTTAAGCTACCTCACAATGCCATGTATTTTTAATTTATATGACAGAACAACACAAAGTTGTAGGAAATGAGATAGTGAGAAGATTACATTACATTAGAAGAACATTAGAGAACAAACAGAATCATGGAGACCAAGGAACCCAGCAGACAGGACATGGAGGAAGCTGTGGAGAATTGAAGCAGAGTCAGGTTCTACAACATTATTCTAAACTTTGAACACAGAGAGAGGATGGACCACCTGGAGACTTGGAAGAAAACTGTCAAATAGTAGATGTTCAACATTGGTCAAAACATTCTCAAAAGACCTGCCGCTGTACACCTTTCAGATATTTATATTTGCTTAACATCTGCTTAAAGCATGTATCCTAGATACAAAAAAAAGAAAAAAAAAGATAGGGATGCTCTAATCAGGTGTTTTGCTGAACGTTCCCACTCACTCAGAGCGTTAAAGTTCCACATGACAGCATTTGTTGCTGCGCGCTTGAGCAGTGTGAAGGAAAGAGGAGATGAGCTGCACACACAGGCTGAAGTGAGATAAATGTGATCGTTTTGGCGATCACCCATCATACACTTTTTCACAGAAATCGGCCGATTGTGATCGGTGGCCAATCGATCAGCACACCTCTAAAAAAACAAAAAAAAGATTTTACATATGTATTAAAACTGTTGTTGTCCTAACATAAGACAATCTGAAAAAATAATCAATCTCCTGCTCTCAGGAAGTTTTGATTTAGTAACTTTAAGCTTTAAGTAACTTACTAAAATAAACTTTCGTAAGTTTATTTTGATCCAACCTGCATTTGACTTAGAATAAATGTTTTTTTTCTTGACATTATTTGATATAAGCAGTGTTGTGAGATTTATTTGACTAATAATTATGGTACAGAGAACCTTGCTGTTAAATATTGTTTTACTGATTGCAGGTTTATCAGTTGTCCTGTTGACTGAGTAGATGCTGCAGTTTGCTTGCAAGTATTTTGCATGTTTTATGTCTAAATTAAGTGAATTTATTTAAGTATTTTAAACAATTTATTTTATTTGCAGCTGTTGACAACTCTAACATTTATAACATGCCAACTCAGGTTTGTAGATCAAGCATCTTTTCTTTTTTTTCTAGCAATGTCTTGAGTACTGCATGGGGTGAATCATTTCCTGGGACATCCAGTTCTGGGATGACTGGCAGATAATACGATGGACCTCATGGTTTGAAAACAGCCTTATCCTCTTTCCCAGACTGATGAGCAATAATGGTTGCTTCTTTCCACTCATTGCTGATGTTTTTCCACTTTGGCACAGAGTGAACAGACACCTGTAAACACCAGTATAGCAAATCACCAAAACTGAGCAGATAACTGATGGTGATCAGTTGCATTTGTTCAGCAGCATGTAGCTGCTATTTTCTCTCTGAAATCACATTGAAGTATCAAAGTTGGAGGGATTTTTCTTCTTACTTTTTCTATTTGGAATTTAAAAAGTTTCCTTGGTATAATAAAGTAAACAAATGAAGATTAGAATCTGTTAGATTTTCTGTATGTTTGAGGCTTGATTTGATAGAGAGAAAAAAAATACTATATAATTTTTTATGTGATATGTATCGACAGAAACAGTAACTAATTGGTCCCTTAGATCAATTTCATGTTATAGTTTTACTTCAGCAATGAATTAAAAAATAAGGTCTTACACTTTTCCTTGAAGACTGGATCAGTTTTCATTTACAAGGTAGGTTTTTACCTGCCGGTCATCAGCTGACTCCGGGACGGGCTGCAGAGCGGCTGGACATAGTAATTCTCCAGCTTCACCCCCTGTGCGGCCAGCCGGTCCAAATTCGGAGTTTTGATCTCGGAGCCGTGGTATCCAACATCCCGGAAGCCCTGATCATCCACCAGGATGAAGACGATGTGCGGCTGGGAGGTCGGCGGCTCGAACTCATCTCCTCCGTTGCGCAGCGCGGACCTCCAGTTTTCCCACGACATGTGAACGCTCCATACCGGAGGAACGATGAAGCTGAGGAGGAAGGTCAGGAACATGCTTCAGCCCGACTCGGATCCTCAACGGAGGTGGTCTGTGCGCATGACTAGGAGGCAGACAGCGGCGCGTGGAGCTCGGGTTCGGTGGTATGAACAGCCTCACGGTTCTCCTTCCAATCGCCAGGCGCTAGCAGCATGCTCTGCAGCGGGAAGGGTCCATGTGGCTTGCAGGCAGGCGGCAGCTGCTCCGCCCGGGAACTTAAGCAGAACTCCGGTGGAGTTCCGCTCAGAGAAGCAGTCCTGTCCCCCGACTCATACAGCGGGGTCTGTTCTGCAGAAGGACGCAGGTCCGAATCAGTCCAATCCCCTCACTGTCATGACGCGTTCAGAACCCGTCCACAATCCTCCCATTTGTCTTCTTGCTGCGGGCCCACTGCTGAAAGCACCCACAGAGCACAAACTGCACAACTGCTGAGAGAACTAATTGTATGGCAAGCGGTTTGTATATTTATTCTGTAATTTATCCGTGTTTTTAACGCTTGCAAGGTAGTTTGAATTTTAGGCCTTGTCCACCTGTGGCTGGGTCTTTTTAAAACGACGTAGAAAAAAACGTTGTTTTTTTTAATATAAAATAATCTCGTCCACACCTGATCAGTTTTTTAAAAAAGTGGTCATCCATATGAACCCGCTGAATTACACTATTGTGTGTTCTAAATATGTCAAACCCATAGGGGGCAGTGTAGACATTGTGCCTCCGTATTGGGAGGGATAGTTGATGCAAAACAGCTGTTCTCCAAGCGCTCTCTCTTTTGCAAATTAACGTATTTAAGCAGTTGAGCTTATAAAAAACAAGTAAAAGATGTCTGAACAAATGTAAAAATCAGCACCTCTCTGGTTATCTTTCCTCACAATATGGCCAAACAATAACAATGGTCACATATGTTATAGAAATATAAAAAATAAGGATAAAAGCTTATGAGCTTTAATTAATCAAGTTTGATGGATTAAATTGCCATGCCCATATCAAAAATTAATAAATCAATGCTCACACACAACCATCTGTTAAATCTGCGTCATAAAATGCTTATGGTATAAAAAATCTGTTAAATATGCATCATATATTCCTTATCGTATTAAAACATTTGTTTTAATAAGGTTTTATATGACCTTGTCTGATTAATAAGGTCATATATATTGCTTATTGTATAAAAACATATGTTTTGATTTAGATTAAGTTGTTATCGAAATAAAACAGACAGGATTCTGGAACCTTCTCTTAAATCAAATGGTAAATAAGGAGCATGTCAGGGGGGGCCCCTTCTTTCATCATATAAAATTTAAGTTCTTATCAAAATGAGACAGACAGAATTCTGGCAACATGACTTTTGACCCAGTTATTCCCCTCCCTCCCCCTAAATGGAATGTTTTATACCTATGCAAATTTGTTGATGTGACTCCTCCTCACATGCATAGAGCCCACCCCCCAACTCCTCTTATCTTCCTGCTCCCCTGGAAATGCCCCATCCCACTTTTATTAGTTTATGTTTGAATGAGCCCATAGAGATACAGGGGTGGGATTTCTGTTTTTCTGCTTTAAATATTTTCGGAGGCCCTGTCATTCTACTTGTTGCATTTGGTAGAGGAAGATCCACTTTGCACTGACAGAAAAAATGGTTTGCGTTAAAAGAGAAAAACCTCAAAAGAGAAGACTGCAGGAAGCTAATCAGCTAGCATGTAGCTCATCTGCTCCAACCTCAGAGACTACAGATGGACAAACCATCAGGAGGCCCTGCTCCATGGCTGATGCTCCATCCTCTACACTCCTGGATAGAAATCTGGTCTTACCTCCATCAGCAGAGTTCGAATCCTCAATTCAGCACGAGATTCCCACCTTCCAGGACTCTGAGCATGCTACGCCTGATCCCAATGGATCATGCCCTGCGTTTGCTCAAGCTGCTTCACCCAGCATAGGAAAAAACACCACCCAGTGTTGTCCAGTGGGACCTCCCTTCCCTGTCAGACTCCAGGCTCGGTCTATTAAATTCCGGTCCATAAATTGGATGCTTCCCAGGAGTCTATCTTTTTTTGTGCAAGAGAAAACCTGAAGACAAAAGGCAGCAGGTTGTGAAGTGAGGTGGAGAAGCTAGTCTGCTAACATCCAACTCAACTGCTTGAAGCTCCAAAACATCAGATGGGAATCCCACCACCTGCTCCATGCATCACCCCAAGAAGTAAATCATTACAGCTGGACAAAGTTTGCTCTTTTTTTTTTGTTTCATTCATGTAAATTGAATCAAATAAAGAACTTTTATCTCCACCTCCAAGCCTGGATCCACTCTCAGTCACTTCATCCCAGTCAAGGCTGATGAAGAAATTAAGGTCAAGGAAATTTGGAGTCACTAAGTACTCGATAGTCAAGCATTTAATAAATCATGTTAATTGTTATATTAATTTCAAATCAGAATAAAAAACACAAACAAAGAATAGTTTATTTCATAAACAAAAATGCGTCTGTGTTTAACTTCCTTTCTTTCTCTGTGCTGCTCTCAGCTGGTATCTGATGAACGTCCTCCACTCTGTCACTTCAGCCAACCGACTTGCCTCGGGTTGAATAAAGGTCCAAAATAATTTCGAGTCACTATCTACTAAATTGTCAAGTATTTATTAACTAATATTTTGTTTTTATAGTAAATTTTAAAAAGCTACAACTTAAATAAAAAGAGAATGGATTAATTTTGTGGACAACTGATCCATATGTTTAACTTTGAGAGCTTTTCTTTCTCTGTGCTGCATCAACTGCTGAGCTCAGCCTGCATCAGATAAACCAACAGCCCCTCAGCAACGGTCACTTTACCCCTGCTAGGGATGGGAAATAGTAAAAGTCAAAGATATGTGGAACC